TGGTTATTACTACTAAAATATGATTTATTGTTCAGAATTAAAGGATTATTAACAGTTTTGGATGTACAATATTTGTAAGATTTGTTTCCCAAACAATCTAAACTTCTATTAAACTAGTATTGAGCAAGTGTCACAATTTATTAAGAATTATTTGGTTTGAATGTACTTAAATTAAATTTGTCTAATATTGGGAATTGAATGTAATAGGAATTATCTAAGATAAAATAATTCAAAAATAAGTGTATCCTTACAGCAGATTATGCAGATAAGATACTGCAAATAAAAAATAGAATCACAAATAAGTGAAAGACAAATAAATCAATTAATATTAAGTAATATATTGAATTATTTTTCAAATATATTCACTTTTTGATGAAATTCAATGTAATGTACATATTTAATAAATAAAATCTTGCATTCAGCAAATATTCCTATGTATCTTATACGATAGAGTTAATAAATTTTATTTATTGTTGTGTCAACTGCTTCGATTCACTGTTTTTATTGTAACTGGCAAGTAGACAGTCGGTCATCATTAAAGTATACGGGGGTTATATAGTGGTCAGAGTCACATTTGTTGAATTGATTTGAGCAAAATCAATTGAGAGAAGTTTAAATAAGTTGTGTAGAGTCTGAGGAGTTGACCTCAGGTATTCCGTAAGAGAGAATATTTGATTTAGCTTTGTAACTTTACCCTTAGTTTTGAGCAATGGCTTCCAGATATTGTATAGTAAAATGGATTTGTGGATCGAGTTAAGGAGGTAGTATATTGTTTAAGCTTTATTGTTCCATTTTTTGGCTATAATTTAATTGCAGTTGTAAATTACACTAAACACCTGCTCCCTACATTACTACTTCAAGTTTTCTATCTAGAATTACTGCAAGTCAGTTTGCTGTGTTAAAGAATTTCAGTGCATACTCGTTTCATATGTATGGACGGTGAAAAGGGTGACTAATTTTTTCTGTTAATTACCACATCTTATAGATTCACATTTTGACTAATGTCAGTGCATTTTGTAACTAAAATATATATAGAACGTTGTTGGAGTTTGCTTTATTGTATAAAAGACAATATAACTTTATGCTTATAACTTCAGATCATTTTAAATGAGTATTCCCCGAACTAAAAACCGTATTTTAAAGTAAAGTTTTAATAGTCTCTAAAACGTGTTTTAAAAACTGAAAATTGCCTTAATTTTGAATGGATCCTTTTTAAGTGAGTAGAGAATGATGAAATTACCGACATATTTCTATAAGCTAATTATGTTGTACTTCACACATCAAAATTAGGCGAAACACCATTCAGGCTTCGCTGTCCTTGTTCACTTGCTCTTATTATTTTAGGAAAAATTTGAATTAAAAGTGAAATATTATAAAGGAAATGACTAAAAATACTCAAACAGCATATAAATAAAATACTCGTTCCAAAATGTGCGAATAAATGGAAAAGTTACGCATACGCCCCGGTATACCGACTTTCACATGCGTGGGCATTGTGTACATTAAATATTTATATAAAATGTGTACAAGCGAGTATGAGGGCAAATGTGTGTACGTATGTGTGTGTGGCTGTTTTTATGAGTACACATACATGCATAAACTAAAGCCATTTTAATTACCATAAGTAATTACCCTAAGCGTTCACGGCAGAGGGAGTGTGGTGGTGTGTGGTGCGATGGTGTGGTGTACGTGAATTCATTTCATGCAAACGAGACGCAAGCCGTATGGAGTTTGTTGTATAGGTGGCAGGCGCCCAACCTGATGCCTGATGCCTGATGCCTGAACCTGATGTATCTATTCATTTTTTGTGAATTTTCTCGTTTTTAGGAGGGCGCAAATAAATTGTTTGTGCATATTCGTTACCAACTCATATTAAGTCAAGTGCAAACCACAAATTGGCCTTGTTAATCATAACAGAAAAAAGTTCACTATATGTATATGTATAAACCCAAACGAAACATACAAAAAGCTTGTGCTGTGGTTCTACTGAAAATGTAGAAACAAAACAGAAGCCATCAAAAAAGTGAAAAGTAAAATAAGACACGAAAATGCTGTGTTCCGAAATGCCACAATGCGTTCAAAGTCTAACATTAAATGTCCGCTTCAGGTTTACTTTGGCGGAGCTGTTACTTTGAGGTGCATATACTCGATAGGTTGAAGAGAACCAATGTTTGTGGGAGTCTATGTTTACGTTTTGCTTAAGTTTGAGATACTTAATGTGTTACAGTTACGTTTTATATGTTGTTGAAAATATATTAATTCACATTGCTCTTCTGCTCTTCTGCTCTTCTGCTCACTGCAACCACAAGCATCCTCTGGTCACAAAAAACGGATTTGTTTCACTTTCTAGTTGGAGACGAGCACGACAATGTTGTGTGTAAATAAATTAATACTAAATTTAATATCTAAAAATAACTTCACAAAATGAGACATTAAAGTCAGGCAGTCAGTCAACTCAATTTCAGACTCTATTGAACCTTAAGTAGTGTGTGTGTGAATGCAAGTCGAGATAGAGTTTGATTTTTGGATTTTTTGTTTTGGTTTTGTTGTTGTTGTTGTTGTTGTTGTTGGTGGTGGTGCTGATGTTGTCGTTGCTGCAAATAAACACAAAACCTAATATGAGCATATTTCTGCTGTTTATCAAAACCCGCCCTGAGTTGTTTACCCACAAACCTTAATCGTATCCTTACTTCGGAGTTGGCGTAGCATTTGCCATTTTGACTTCACAAACTGTTAGCCAGGATCAACTTGCTTCTGACATTATAGCTATGCCCAGCAGGTGAGCTCTAAGCTGGCACATGTCTGAAATATGAGTGACAATAGTTTTGTTAATATTCAAGTCTGTCACTTTAATGGTTTCGGGTTGATTAAATATTTTCTTCTACGCAACCCATTAAGCATTTAAGTGATAATAAAAATAATAAAATGAATATTAGAAGTTTAATAAAAAATATTATTTGAAATTAAGTGTTAATTATTACTACTAGCAGATAAATAAAAAAATAAAACGATATTAGAGATAACATGGATAGTTTTAAAATAATCGTCTAAAATAGTTGCAATTGCTATCCAATAATTTTGATTTTAATTACTGTATACTTGTATTAGTAGACTAAATTTTTATTGATGTAGTGGAAAGCATTAAACGCCATATTGTGCCTGAATCCAGTAAATTCACCTCTTATGACTCTTATGAAAAGATATCAGCCATCTGACTGTGAAAATCGCATTCCAATCATTTTAAAATTTATCTAAGTTGGGAATGACAACGTAATATACGTTAACTATGGATGGCTGTTTACAAAAGGTTAAGACTCTTTAAAAGCATACTCTATGGATCGAACGGATATAAGTGTGATTGAATAACAAAAAAATATGTGTGGATCACTTTCATTTAAATAGAGACCAAAGAATTGGTAAGTCTACGGAAAAGTGCTTAGAGAAGCTCAGTAAGAAGTTGTACAATATATCTGTGTGCAGAATATCAGGAGGGAGATTATGGCAACGATGTAGATATTGATGTAATTTTTCTCATAATTAGTTCATATTCTACTATTATTCCTACCATTATTTTTTAAAAAGTGTGAAGAGCCTTCTCTTCAAAAAAAAAAAGAAATAAAAGTTTCTCTTATTAAACCGAAACAAATTATGTAAGATAATCCCCTACTGAAGTTATCAGCGATTTTCGTGGTCAAAAAGTATGTGAAATGAGTGTTTTAAATCGTTTACCCGCGAAAGGGGTTAAGTTTATTCCCCAAATCAGTCTCCCACTTATTGGGATACTGTTGCAACCAGGATCCGCATGAAGCTGTAGCGGAGGAAAATGTCAGTCCATGTCACACCTCAGTGATTATGAGAAAATGCAACCCTGTCAAGTCCAAATCTCCCGCAACACAGAAAATTTTTTGGATGGAAAGGGTCTTTGACAGTTGCTTCTAGACTTTTAATGCTCCACTGCTTCAGATGCTACAGTTTCGTTTGTCCGTTTGCCTCATACCTTAAGAAAATTCAATTAAAAAGATTTCTTCTGCTGGATTGCCGTCTTTTTAGTAAGATTTCACAGTTTCAACACAGTTGTTGGTTCCTAAACGTTCGTGGTTGTAATGTGACCATTCCTAAACTGAACCTATGATACATAATCCAAAGTCTCTAACATAGTTTACTGTAGTATTTAATAATTATTCTCATTAAAATGTTTTTAATATTTACACAATTTACATAAAATTTAAATACAATTCAATAGGAGGTGACGTCGTCCATCTTCTTCCATCATCTTCTGTCTTCTTCTTCACTATCATCAGTCACTATTTGATTTATTTGTCGTGTTGAAGTTTTGTCGAAGATTTATTTGTGTCATTTACTTTCATGGTGTACTCGTCTACGACAAATTTTATTGTTTTGGTGTGAAATAAAAAAAAAAAGGAATACATAAAACATAAAAATCAAAAAATTTGGATTACTAATACCTATGTCTAAGCTATTTAAAAGGGCTGACCAAAAACTGAAGACTTCTTTAAGGCAGTTGTAGAGAAAAAGATTATTGATAATATTCGTGGAAATGGAATAATTTCGAACACTTTCCAAGTGTACATAAATATCCTTACAAAATCTTATATAAAAAATTGATTAATATTTGTTGTTGTTTGCTGAAGCGGCATTGCTTAATGTGCCAAAACATTGCGACATTAAGAAAATGAAGGCAATTTCCTCATTTTTGCTGGCAATGAATTGTAAAATGGCAGAGGAAATATTTTGGGCTTTTGTGATAGAATTTTTTTTATTTTTAAAAACAATTGTTATAATGTCTGTAAATGATAATATATGAATCTGTGTAACATGCAACATGCAACATTTTGTTTTGCTTTAAGGACAGGATACTCTGGTGGGCAAGATGGGCAGAAAAATTTTATTCATCGAAATAAAATAATTTCCATCGCTTTTTTACATACTCGTATTATATGCCAGCATATTAATTATTTTATTCTTTTCTGTTTTTTCAGCTCATTGTAGAAATTAATAGCCATGTTGCTTTATTTCGTGATATGCTGATACATGTTGGCCAATCCAAAGACTGCCCGGAATTACGCGAGAAAATTCGAAAACTGCGAAGAACCTGCGTTGAAGCATGCAAGCACACGGCGCAGATAATAATGCCGCAGGTGAAGAGGTGAGTAAGAGTTCCTGTACACGTGATTTATTCTCCACTCGAATTGATTGAATGTGAGGGCGATGTTTCCAGTTCAATGGTCTACGAAAAGTTGATGTGATGTGATGGATTTATTAAGAGTCTTAAGAGTCGCAAAGAAAGTGAATTATAGATAAATTTTATGTTCAACCGGTCAAAGCTGGTAATTCTTCTATATAAATATATTTTTGAGTTTGATACTAATATTGACATGCATAAATTGACCTATGGGCGAATTGATGAATGGTTGTACTTCAAAGTATGAACTCCAAAGTTAGAATGCTTTCGAATTTGCTTTTAACTAAAGCCTAACAATAAGTTTTAGAATCTCAAAGGCTAATGACATTACATAACAAGTTATTTTATAAAAACGTACTAGAATGAATTATATAATGATTTGTAAATTATTTTATGGTGGCCTCTAAATAAGTACCCAGGGCTAATTTACTAGATATCTCGACGCATAAATTGAATTAATCAGGATGATATTTAGGTAGTCAAGATGGCAGGTCTAGCATTGCGTTTCAGTCTAGAAGAATTTGTCATATTAGCAAGAGGTCTAGCCAGCGGATTTACATGATTTTCAAAATTTGAAATATGTTCCACACTTTTTTGTTTCGATATGCTTCCACCAAGTTAGGCGTTCCACCAAGTTAATGAAGGAGAATACCAAAGTAAGTCACTGTTTCAATTTGCGGAACTACAATTCCAACTATCACTCGTTGGTGAAGAGAATCTGTTTAGAGAGAATGTTGTATAATGACATTTTTTCTAATTGACTTTAATTCGCCATAGTGACAACCTTCTTTCTACGAAGCTTAAATGGTTTTGGAGTTGACTGGAAGCTTTTCCTTCAAAAAATATTGATGTTACTAAACTGGTATTTCTAGGGATGTCCGAAGTAAAAGCGCTTCTTATTTCGTTAGTTATTCTGTTCAGTTGTTCGATAGTATCATGTTTTTGACGAAATCCCAATTGATGGCTTAGGATTAGGTCTCGTTCTTGGAAAAAGGGCAAAAGTTCTGCTAGTAACACTTTCTCAAACAATTTTGACAGGTAAGGCAGCAAGTTTATAGGTCTGTATGATGCGGCTAGTATTGTATCTCTTCGGGGTTTATTATAATTAATGTTTTTTTCCATTCCGTAACTGAATGACTAACTTTTACATGGGCAAACAGATTGATATCAGTGACCTGATCAAGAATATACATATATACTTAGTGTGATAGTGAATGTTTATTATTCCGTACAAATTTTTCTATGAAATCATATCAAAATTTAAATGACTAATTGCATTCTTATTTAATACGATGCAATCAATACTTATAAAGATAAGAAACTAAAAAGAATATGTGCAAAAGTGGAATGAAATCATTTTCTAGTAAATAATAAAGACATGAATAATGTCACTATAATAAAGTGGACTTATGACACGTAATATTGCAAAAAAATTCCACCACAAAGTTAAACTAATGAAAATGGTGGAATGAACTAAATGCATTGCTTCAAGTGCTAAACTTCCAGACTCAAATATCCTCTCAAATGATATTTTTTTATTTCACAATTCATTTAAAAAAAGGTAATTAAAATATAATAAATTTACTTTTCAGTCAAGAGAAGTGATAAAAATTGAACTGAAAGCCCTTAAGCATACTTTTAGAGTGTTGGTCTATTAAGCTAAATATTTATTCCCTTCGTATTGGTTGCGGAAAACTTAGATCACCATTAGACTCGCACCGCTTAGAAAGCCTGACGGATTTACGGCTCGCAGAATAAAGGTAGTGTTTCAGCAGAACATCTTTAGACCGTCTATCAAACAAATCCAAAAATAACAGATTTCCAACTTAATATTGGGTCTCTTTCTACTGTTGAAAATCCCATTACTTTACGCTTAAATGAGGTGCAGAAGCTATCCGGACATTTTCAAATCTAAAAAAGGCACCTGAGCACGAAAACCTTACAGGTAAAACTATTCTGCAATTGGCCAAAATAGCAATATCGTTCCGACGTTTCAGGGAAGGATCTCTCTTTGCTATCACCATACAGATCTATAACTCTTCTAGCTCAAATATCAAAATTTTTGAGAAGAATCTATTGTCCAATATGATGCTTATAAATACATCAGTTATAACAAAGACACGTTAAAAATTTTCATAGCTTTGCCTTTAGAGCTGGATATAGGGCTATAGAGCAAATCCACAGAATTGCCAAAGAAATATATACTGCATATCAGAACAAAAAGTACTGTGACTCAAGTTTTTGATGAAGTGGGGTATGTGGGACTATTGTATAAAATAAATCAATTTCTTTCTAAACAGAAGCATAAGCTCTTTTTCTTAATAAATCTTTGCCAGAAAATTCCAATTAAAACATAATTACTTTAAATTTGAAGCGAAGTAAATATAATGGATGGTGTTCCTCAAAAAAGTATGTTGGAATCGTTTCTTTACTTAATTTGCTTAGTTGCTATATTCGCGAATGAAATTGCATTTTCCAGTACACACAACCCCCACAAAAGTGCACCCCGAAGCCTCTCATTGAACTATGGAGCTCGGCGTGTTGCTAGAATAATGAGAAAGTAAGGAGAATACAAAATAAACTGCTTAGACAAATAACTAGTGCTAAATGATATCTTAAAAACTACTATATTCAGAAGGATCCTGGGATTGCATGTTACTAATGTCATACATACTTTAGAAAATACAAAGCGTTATTATGTCTAAAAATTAATAAAATAAGTTAAAAATCAACGTTACCAGTGTATTTACATAGACATGTCAACTCCTTCCGCATTTAAGACCGTGAACTCATCACGAAGAAGCTTATTTTAAGGAAAATGTTTAAGACTTTTTTGAAAAAAAAATACTGTGAATATACATCGACAGCCTCTTTTGCTTATTTAAGTTCCGTATTATTTGTCTGCATTGAAGTTATCCCTTTAGTGGGGTTTAATTAAGTTTCCATGGCTTTGCATTGGTTCTTGTTTTAGTTCCGTTTGGTTTGTGCTCGGCATGAAGTTGGCTGAATTATTGCGTGCTAATTATGAAAAGCAATTAATTTTCCTACTATGTAGTTGTGGTGTATGAACTGTTTACTGCAATCTTATTAGATCCTTTGGAAGGAGCTCTTTCATTCGTGAGTTCTTGTGAGTATAAATAAGCTTATTCATTTTTAATGAATCGTTCATTGAAACCCATAAAATGTGCCACTGAATGTAAAAACCAAAAAACCTCAGTGAATAATTTTTAACCAAGGACAAAATTCAGTCACTGTTGTTCGATTAAATCGTGGCTTCTTTTCGTCTTCAACATAATTGGCAATTTCTATCCGCTTGTCATGCTAACATGACCACCTGTTGGGATAAATATGGGCACAAAAAAAGTAACTAAAATTCCCAGGCAGACGACAAGAGAACGATGCGACATCGTTTGACTATAAAATTGGTTTGTGGCCAGTGTCCCTTGCCTCCATTTCTTCTTTTAGCTACTTTGTTCATGTGTAGTTGTCCCTAACTTTTACTCCATTTCTACTGTGTTGGTTTTTCTTTCATTCGCTTTTCCTCATGCATTTTCGCATCCTTTCAGTTTCACTTTCACTACTTTCACTTCGACTTCGTTCGACTTCCTTTGACTGGGTTCCCATTTTTATGTGCGCGCTAAGATTAATTTGCAATTTATTCTCTTTAATGGCGAAGTAACGACATTTAAGAAAATAAATGGTGGCTTGTGTTGGCCATTTTCAAATTCTTTTCTTTCATTCTTGGTATATTTAATATCTCTCGGTCTCATTTCTGTCTGTAAGCGCTGTGCACACTACGTAAATCAACACGACTCAAAACGACTTTCAAGTACATTCTTAAATTCCAGCACGAGTTTTAGTAGCGAATGTCCTTAACGAACTAAATTAGCTTATTATTAAAATCAAGCAACACGAGTTTCCTAAATTGAAATGACCTACATTCACATTATTCACATCATGAATTTAGAAGATTAAGACTCGATTATAAAGCAAAATATTTTTCTTCTTCCCTTCTTTCACTCAGTTTGTGCTGATTATAGGAATTCTTTAAAAGTAACTGCGGCAAACTAAATCGCGGGTCTCAGATAAACCGATGCATGAATTATATATAATTTTTTTCAGTCATGCAAGTTAACTTATCTTACCTTTATGATCTGTATACGGTATTTAGTTGAAGGGACGTGGGTAAATCACATTCGTATATAGCTCATGCTTTCCATAAACTTGGTTCATGCTTTCAGATTTTGATTGGTTCCATGGGAGTGGAATGAAAATGTTGAATTCATTTATAAACATTTCCATTACATCATTATAATATGGCTGGATTTGATTCGATTTGTATTTTACAAATCTGAGAGGTGTAGGCGTTTGTGTGCCCTTCTTTCGGTGGGTCTTATTTTGTGGTAAGTAACAGAGAGTAACAATATGTTTTATGTCAGAATCTCCCTTAGTAATATAAGTTATATATACTAACATCACAGATTGATGCTTTTTGATATAAATTGTAAATGAGTGATCAGAAAATTTGCTTAGAGTAGATTAAGAGCACAAGTAATTGTATTATAGTGCTATATGTTAGTACGATTTCGCTTCAGTTACTTAACGTTTATTTCAGAAAACCGTGTAATATAAAGAAGTACAAATTATTTGGTACATAGTTGGTGTGTAATAATTATTTATTATTATCCTTTACATCCACATTTTTCACGTTAGATTTATTATATAGGAATGGTTGTCAAACATCCAGTTAAACACCCAGTTTGAAAAGTTTAGTCCACTGATGCATACCATAGTTCATGACTTTATAAAATTTTAACTGTAAAGACATAAACGTCACACCTTCTCCTAGTTTATTTTGAAGGGTACTTTCATTTAGAAAATATAATAGTAGCTGTTAGGATATTTCGTACTATGTTCTTTGGAATCATGTATTTGATGTAGAAGCTCTCAACCTACTGCAGCAG